CATACTGCTCCGTCGACGTGCCCATGGATGAGGATAATCCTCGCGACAGTAACAACGCCGGAATCTTCTACCGTTTCGCCGACGATGGTTACATAACACCTGTGACAGTCAACACCAACGAAGCAGAAAGGGTAGGGCCAAATTTCATGCCCGACCCAGAAACGGGAGACGAAGCAGCTTATCCCGAGGATCCAGAACTCCCTCGATACTCACAGACTGGGCTGCAAATCCTTGGTCTCGTCACCGCAGTCCATGGCGCCGGCATTCCTAAGGAGCCTGCGACGGTTCAGCAGGCTCTGGGGGGGGAACACAGGGAGAAATGGCGTGAAGCTATGGACAAAGAGCTGAAGGCACTGGAGGAGCGCAACACATGGAAAATTGTTCCCATCGGCGTAACTCAAAATAAAAACATTCTTACCGGGAAATGGGTCTTCCGTGTGAAGACGAAAGCTGATGGCACCATCGACAAATTCAAAGCCCGCTGGGTCGTACGTGGCTTCGACCAGGAGCACGGAAGAGATTACACCGAAACCTTCGCTCCGGTCAGTCGCCACACCTCACTCCGAATCCTCATCGCCGTCGCCGCCATGAAGAAAAAGAAATTGCGACAGATCGACGTTGCGAACGCATTTCTCTACGCACCTGTGGATGCAGAAATCTTCGTTGAACTCCCGCACGGCTCCCACGGCGAACCCAACCGAGTGTGTCAACTACTCAAATCACTCTATGGGATCAAGCAGGCACCGCGACTGTGGCAGCAGTACCTACACGCCCGCCTCATCCGCATCGGCTTCAAACAACTCCCGCATGACCAGGGCATGTATCGCCTCACAAAAGGAGGCGATTACGTCCTATTAATCGTCTATGTGGACGATCTTCTCTACATTGGGTCAACCGACAACATCGCCGCGTGGTTCGAAGGGGAGCTCCAGAAAGACCTCACGCTCACGGTCTCTCCTACGGTTACGCAATACCTCGGGCTCAACATCCGTGAGGAAGAAAACGCAATCTACCTAAGCGCCGAGAAGTACGCCGACACTATCGCGAAACGCTTTCGTCTCACACCAAGCGCCATCTCCACGCCTTATCGCTACGCGTCAGGAACCGAAAAGGGGCAATCTACGCTACTTAAACCCGCCGGCATACGCGACTATCAGAAGAAGCTAGGATGCCTTCTTTTCGCAGCAGTCACGTGCCGTCCCGACCTATCCTACTCCGCGAGTCAGCTCGCTACCTATCTCAAGAGACCTGAAGCAGAGCATCTGGCGGAACTCGATCGTGCTCTCCACTACTTCGTCAGCACCGCGACGATCGGACTAACTTATCACAAAAACGTGACTACACCGACCAAACTAATCGGCTACGTCGACGCCGATCACGCCGGCGACACCGACAACAGGCGCTCACGCACCGGCTATGTCTACCGCCTTGAGCCTATCGGTCCTATCTCCTGGCAGTCAAGCAAGCAGGAGTTAATCGCACTATCTTCAGCAGAAGCAGAATATATCGCACTCTGCTCAGCCACCAAGGAGGGACTTTACCTTCGCGAACTACTGGAAGAAGCGAAACTAGCCGAGTTACCCAGCTTCACCGTATTCTGCGACAACCAGTCGGCAATTCGCATCGCCAACAAAAACGGCTTCGCAAACAGGACGAAACACATCGCCCTGCGCTATTTCTTCGTGAAGGACGAGATAGAAAAAGGGAAACTCGATCTGTCATACTGCCCAACATCCGAGATGGCAGCCGATTACTTGACCAAGAAACTCAGAAAGCAGAAGTTCGAATACTGCATGATGCTGACTGGACAAGGCCACGTCACCAGCAGCGACACTCCAGAAGCGAAGGGGAGTGTTGGAAACAATAATTCCTAAATGCGCTTCTGTCGTATCAAAACCCAAGGCACCAAGCGAAGCAGTCCCAATCGAAGCATCGAGTCAACCTCGGAGGTTAGGGTAACCGCCTGGAGGTTACGAGAAAGTCAAAGGTCGCTGACCTTTGACTCGACAATCACAACGCGACAGTTAAGGACACACAACTGACTCGTTACAGAGCAGTTGCCCGAGTCGCACTGTATCGAACCGCAACAGCAATACAGTTATCTACCTATCTGTTCGTATTCCCTGTACTCTTATATAAATCCTTGTATTTGCTTGTTTAAATTAATCTACTTTGCTCTCACACACCAGTGCAAGGTCGGTTCACAATCCTCATTAAACGCTTCCGCTATTACAAGTTTCTACCCAAGAGTTCTCCTCTGCAAAGATCCTAAGGGCTAATTTTCAACCCAACAGAAATCAGGAATGGACCTTGCCAATGTAGCAAGCCACATACATAACACTCCCTAATTCTACATCCAGGATAGAGTAACACCTCGAAGGTTCAACTGAGCTCGCCAGGCAGGCAGCATGAAAGCCTGAACACAAGGCTGCATGCCAGTCTGTTTGCCAGCCTGCATGCCAGCGACCACGCTCTAGAAGCCAGGCAGCACAGTGAGGTCAGCAATGCCTTCCGGCAGTCTTGCAATCCTGCTGAGCAGCCCCAAGCGGTTCTTACGCAACTGCTCCTCCTCCTGCAGCACCCCCCATGCCACACAACCAGGTGCAATTCAATGATCGTGTCAAAACCACAATACCAAGTCGAGATGCGAGCGATCACAGAAGTTCACACCAGGGCAAGAGTCAGCACATAGGTAGAGACAGACGGACATGTATCAACATCAGCAACACAAGCATGATGGAGAGGATTGTGCTGTGGAGTTGTGGGACTTCGGGTTCAGGTGTGTTGGGGGGGGTGTGCGTTGAGGGGTTTGGGGTTTGGAGTGTGTTGGGGGAGTGTGAAGTGCGGTGTTGGAAATAGATATGCATGCCGTGTGGCTGGCTGGCTGGATGGCTGGTTGGTTGGTGGGCTTACCGCCATGACGAACACATTGGCAAAGAAGCCTTCAAGAGGGTCGACGAGAGCCATGGATGCATCGGCGAACGCCTTGATGCTCATGTCTGCACGCATGCATGCCGTGTTGGGAGGGCGCAACGGGGGGAAAGAGAGGGCACATAAAATATATTTCCATTGCACGTGTTGAGGATGTTGATATGCCTGCTTTCAAGAGACGGCCAATGATAGGGTGAATGGTGAGGCAGTGGTGTATGCTGTGGTGATTGAAAACGGTAATGCCTCGATCAACTTACCGGTAGAGATGCGCCAATATGTGACTGAATGCAATATGACTGTAACATGAATGTAAGTGGATGCAAACTGATGTGATACATGACATGTGGCACGATGTTAGAAGATGCATTGAGTGTGCCATGGGCACAGAAAGAAGAAGGAAGCACGCACCAGTGGAGACCTCAGCATCCACGTGCTTGAAGGCGTCCCACAGAGTCCTCTCCGCATCCGACTCAAACAGCTTCTCCCTCACCTGCACACAGGCTCCCCCATACACACACACAATCAAGAGAGCCCCACATCATGTTCCACACACACAGGCACTCCTCAGGGTCATCATGCGCCACAAAAGTATGCCAGGTTGCTAGAGCATGCCGGACAGAGCATGCAGGACAGAGCATGCCGGACAGAGCATGCAGGACAGAGCATGCCGGACAGCATGCCGGACAGAGCATGCCGGACAGAGCATGCCGGACAGAGCATGCCGGACAGAGCATGCCGGACAGAGCATGCCGGACAGAGCATGCACATGCGAGGCCACAAGGGTAAAGCTTGCATAACGAGAGCTCACCTGCCAGTCCAGGTCCACGTCCTTGCCGCGCACGATCCTCGTTGGCCGCGCATACGCTGCCACAATCTTTTCAAGCTGCCCTGACGCCTGTAGCTCCTCCATCTGGTATCAGGGCAGGCAGCGGGGCAGACAGCACGGTTACAGGTTGTCAGCCGAGACAAAAAGTGAGTGCTCTGGCACTCTCAGCTCCTTGCTGCATCATGAGGAGAGTCCGGATCGTTCTTCCATCTCTTTATCTCTCAGTGCCAGTGTTGGCATGGAGGCCCTCTGTATTGTGTGACCTTGTCACACAATGTCAAATGTCAGAACGTCACATCACAGCAGAGAGGATTCGCGTGCCACAGGGCGCCACCACTCACCTCCGCCACGGATCGTGCAGCCAAGGCCGGCACAGAGCCTCTCTCCTCCAGCACACTGCGCACCGCCTCCACTGCCGCCCCACGGTCCACGAGGAACTGCTCCAGGCGGCGCACTATGAAGGACTCCACCTGCTTTTCAAAGGGTGGTGCCGTTTGTGTGGGGGGTGAGCAGGGGCGAGAAAGTCTGAGTTTGGAAGGGATTTTGAGGCGCCTCTACCACTGCCTCCACGGCCGCCCCGCGGTCCACGAGGAACTGCTCCAGGCGGCGCACTATGAAAGATTCCACCTGCAACCCAGGAAGGGATTTTGAGGCGCCCCATGCACCGCCTCCACTGCAGCCCCACGGTCCACCAGGAAGGGGTGGGGGGTGCTGTTGGGCATCAACACTTGCCAACCACCACACCACCTCACCTGCTCCAGTGTGGCGGGAATGACCTACACGGGCTGCATGGACGCTGGTGCCTGCAGGGATGCTGCTGGGTGCTGATGGGAATCAGCCATTCTCAGGCACCACCTCACCTGCTCCAGTGTGGCGGGAGTGACCTCCACAGACTGTACGGACGCTGCTGAGGGCTAGGGAGAACTCGCAACGACCAACTCACCTGCTCGAGCGTTGCCGGGGGCTGCATAAATGCTGCAGAGTACTGATGCAGAGTACTGATGCAGAGTACTGATGCAGAGTACTGATGCAGAGTACTGATGCAGAGTACTGATGCAGAGTACTGATGCAGAGTACTGATGCAGAGTACTGATGCAGAGTACTGATGCATTGCCGATTCTCAACCACCACCTCACCTGCTCCAGTGTGGCGGGGGTGACTGCACGGGCTGCACGGGCGCAGCTGCCTGCAGGGCTGTGGAGAGATGCAGATGGGAATGCACACATGCTGGCAAACAGCTCACCTGCTCCAGTGTGGCGGGAGTGACCTCAACAGGCTGCACGGATGCTGCTGCCTGCAGGGCCGTGGAGAGATGCAGATCAGTGTTGCTTGCTACCAGTGCCTCCACCTGCCAGTTAGCATGGATGCAATGTGGTGAAGGCCGGCGAATGAAAGGAGGTGAAACAGCGCAAGGGTGAGCGCAAGAGCCATATGATGGAGCATGGCAAGGCAAACCAGCAGGGGAGTGCAGGGGGGGAGTCGGGTTGGGGAAGGGATGAGGGCATGGGTGAGTTGGGGAAGTGGCAGCTCACAAGGCCGTATGCGGAGCGGCGGAGACCAAAGGGGTCGGCCGAGGCAGAGGGCTCACAGCCGATGGCGAAGAGCCCCACGAGACTGTCAAGCCTGATGGGCAAGCGGCATGGGAGGGAGCAGGGTGCAGAATGTAAGTATTTGTGTGACGGGCACTGAAGGACTCACAGCCGATGGCGAAAAGCCCCACATGACTGTCAGATAATGGTGAAGGTAATGGTAATGGTAATGGAAATGGAAATGGTAATGGTGATGGTAATGGTAATGGTAATGGAAATGGTAATGGAAATCGTAATGGTAATGGAAATGAAAATGGTAACGGTAATGGTAATGGTAATAAGAATGGTAAAGGTAATGGTAATGGTAATGGAAATGGAAATGGAACTGGAAATGGTAATGGAAATGGTAACGGTAAAGGTAATGGTAATAAGAATGGTAAAGGTAATGGTAATGGAAATGGAAATGGTAATAGAAATGGAAATGGAAATGGTAATGGAAATGGTAATGATAGTGGAAATGGGAATGGAAATGGTAATGGTATGGTAATGGTAAAAGTAATGGTATTAGTAATGGAAATGGTAATGGTAATGATAAAGGTAATGGTAATGATAATGGTAATGGAAATGGTAATAGTAATGATAATGATAATGATAATGATAATGGTAAATGTAATGGTAATAGTAATCGCGGGGAGCATGCGGGGGAGCAGGGAGTAGGAAGAGGTGGGATTTGCGGACGGTGGAGAGGTGTTGAGGGCGGTGCGGGAGGGAGAGCACGAGACCAGTTGTCACGGTTCACACGGTTGACGATGAAATGCCGAACCTAAACTGACCTGGTGGCGAGGGAGAGCACGAGGCCAGGGGCTGTGGTGGGCAGCTGGTCGCCTGCTGACCGCGGCAGCACACACTCGAAAATTGCCCTGCTCACCTGAGGAGGGAGGGGGTGTGGGGTGTGGAGAGGAGGCAAGAGGGAGGGAAAACTGGAATGTCGGATTCATAGCAGGGAGCTGGAGCGGGGCACAGCAGCAACCCTCCTGTTCTCACACACACGCACTCACCGTCTCCCCCAGCCCCTCCCTCTCCGCATAGTGCCGCCCCATGATCCCCGCCAGCCCGGTGAACTCCATCACCACGCCGCTCCCAAGGTCCGCCATGCACAGGTGAAGCTTGGGACTTACACCACAGCTGAAGCTTGGGACTTACACCACAGCTGAAGCTTGGGACTTACACCACAGCTGAAGCTTGGGACTTACACCACAGCAAAACCTTTCCTGTTCTCACACACATGGACTCACCTCCTCCCCCAGCCCTTCTCTCTGTGCGTAATGACGCCCCATGATCCCCGCCAGCCCGGTGAACTCCATCACCACGCCACTCCCAAGGTCCATCCGTACACACACACACACACACACACACACACACACACACACACACACACACACACACACACACCACACACACACACACACAACACACACACACACACACACACACACACACACACACACACACACACACACACACACACACACACACACACACACACACACACACACACACACACACACACACACACACACACACACACACACACACACACACACACACACACACACACACACACACACACACACACACACACACACACACACACACACACACACACACACACACACACACACACACACACACACACACACACACACACACACACACACACACACACACACACACACACACACACACACACACACACACACACACAACACACACACACACACACACACACACACACACACACACACACACACACACACACACACACACACACACACACACACACACACACACACACACACACACACACACACACACACACACACACACACACACACACACACACACACACACACACACACACACACACACACACACACACACACACACACACACACACACACACACACACACACACACACACACACACACACACACACACACACACACACACACACACACACACACACACACACACACACACACACACACACACACACACACACACACACACACACACACACACACACACACACACACACACACACACACACACACACACACACACACACACACACACACACACACACACACACACACACACACACACACACACACACACACACACACACACACACACACACACACACAACACACACACACACACACACACACACACACACACACACACACACACACACACACACACACACCACACACACACACACACACACACACACACACACACACACACACACACACACACACACACACACACACACACACACACACACACACACACACACACACACACACACACACACACACACACACACACACACACACACACACACACACACACACACACACACACACACACACACACACACACACCACACACACACACACACACACACACACACACACACACACACACACACACACACACACACACACACACACACACACACACACACACACACACACACACACCACACACACACACACACACACACACACACACACACACACACACACACACACACACACACACACACACACACACACACACACACACACACACACACACAACACACACACACACACACAACACACACACACACACACACACACACACACACACACACACACACACACACACACACACACACACACACACACACACACACACACACACACACACACACACACACACACACACACACACACACACACACACACACACACACACACACACACACACACACACACACACACACACACACACACACACACACACACACACACACACACACACACACACACACACACACACACACACACACACACACACACACACACACACACACACACACACACACACACACACACACACACACACACACACACACACACACACACACACACACACACACACACACACACACACACACACACACACACACACACACACACACACACACACACACACACACACACACACACACACACACACACACACACACACACACACACACACACACACACACACACACACACACACACACACACACACACACACACACACACACACACACACACACACACACACACACACACACACACACACACACACACACACACACACACACACACACACACACACACACACACACACACACACACACACACACACACACACACACACACACACACACACACACACACACACACACACACACACACACACACACACACACACACACACACACACACACACACACACACACACACACACACACACACACACACACACACACACACACACACACACACACACACACACACACACACACACACACACACACACACACACACACACACACACACACACACACACACACACACACACACACACACACACACACACACACACACACACACACACACACACACACACACACACACACACACACACACACACCACACACACACACACACACACACACACACACACACACACACACACACACACACACACACACACACACACACACACACACACACACACACACACACACACACACACACACACACACACACACACACACACACACACACACACACACACACACACACACACACACACACACACACACACACACACACACACACACACACACACACACACACACACACACACACACACACACACACACACACACACACACACACACACACACACACACACACACACACACACACACACACACACACACACACACACACACACACACACACACACACACACACACACACACACACACACACACACACAACACACACACACACACACACACACACACACACACACACACACACACACACACACACACACACACACACACACACACACACACACACACACACACACACACACACACACACACACACACACACACACACACACACACACACACACACACACACACAACACACACACACACACACACACACACACACACACACACACACACACACACACACACACACACACACACACACACACACACACACACACACACACACACACACACACACACACACACACACACACACACACACACACACACACACACACACACACACACACACACACACACACACACACACACACACACACACACACACACACACACACACACACACACACACACACACACACACACACACACACACACACACACACACACACACACACACACACACACACACACACACACACACACACACACACACACACACACACACATACACTCACCTCCTCTCCCAAACCTTCTCTCTCTGCGTAGTGCCGCCCCATGATTCCAGCCAGTCCAGTAAACTCCATCACCACGGCAGTCCCAAGGTCCGCCATGCACAGCCGCGCTGCCTGCTGCGCCGCGGCAAAGTCTGATGGAGAGAGGTGCAGAGCGGTGCAGAGGAGTGGCGTGATGGCCTCGATGCGCTCGCTCTTGTCCAACATGGAACCCAGCTTCGCCTGGTGGGAGGGAGGCAGAAGGACAGCGGGATAGCGGGATAAGTGGGATAAGTGGGAGAGGAGGGGAGGTGCAGCACAGTGAGGAGTGGTGTTAAGGCTTCCACACGCGTGAATTTGTCCAACATTGACCCCGGCTTCGCGAGGCAGGCAGAGATAGGGGTATGGGGGACGAGGGAAAATAGGAGTAGAAATTGGGGGGGAGGGGAGGGGCATACAGTTAAGGAGTAGGAGATAGGGGAGAGGGGCATAGCGGATAGGGAAGAGGGGATATGGGGGACAGGGCACTTGAAGCTGGTGGAGATATGGAGTAGCAAGACCACAGGGCGCAGCTGTGCAGGAGCAGAGGGAGGGAAGGTACCTGGAAGGTGATGCCCTTGAGCTTCTCCCGGAAGGACTCCAGAGGGTGCGCTGTGTCGCTGTTGTAGAAGAAACGTGCATCCTCGTAGCGGGCGCTGTTGGAGGGTCAGGGGATGATGGATAGGCATAGTGAGAATAATTATGCGCCCTTATACTCCCACCCACGCCCCATTTCCGTTTCCCCTCTCTCTGCCTTCAAATCCCGACCCCATTTCCCCCTCCTCGTGGCCACCCCGACTCACCGCAGCACCGACTCGTTCCCGGCTCGCACTGCCACTTCATCCAGCCTTTTGTCCTCTCAACCCTCTTTCCCAATCTCTCTGCCTTGACCAATTCACCCCTTCCCCTTCCTCTTCCTCTTCCCCTTCCCCTTGCCCACCAACCCCGCCCCACTCACCGCAGCACTGACTCGTTGCCGGCCCGCACTGCAGCTTCGTCCAGCCGCCCGTTCGGCACCGCCACAAAGTACGGGAGAAGCTTCCCAGAAGCTGCGTCCTGCACCGGGAAGTACCTCTGATGCTTCCTCATCACCATCACCAGCACCTCGGGCGGCAGGTCTAGGAAGCTGCGGTCGAAGCTTCCTAGAAGCGGCACGGGAGATTCCACCAGGTTCGCCACCTCAGCAAGGAGGTCCCCTCGTGCATCTTCCGGGATGCTTCCTCCCACCGACGCTGCCAACTCATTGCTTGCTGCCCAGATCGCGTCTTTACGCTCCTGGCGATGGCGATTGGGAGATGACGGATGGAAGCAGCCGGGACATGACAGGCAGGCAGGACACGGGGCATTCACTTTAGGCAGATTCTCAAAAGCGATGCCAAAGCAGCTGGGAGATTGGAGATGGCACATGTTGACACAACTTTATTATCTCGTGACAGGACACAAGGCGTTCATGAGATGGGAGATGAGTGGAGAAGGGAAGCAGAGAGAGGTAAGAGTGGGTGGGGAGATGCGCGCACGTGGATGGGGAGAGCACACGTGCATGCATGGGAAAGTGGTGGGGCGCACCTGAATGGAGAGGGTGATGTCGGCAGCTGCGATGGCTGCTGCATACTCCTCTGCAGATGGTAGCTGGTGTGGTGCGGTGTGGTGTGGTGAGGTGTGGTACAAGGGGGATGGATGAGAATTTTTAGAATGCGCCTAGAGTCGTCCTCTGCACATGGCAGCTAGAGCAGTGTCACGTGTGGGGATGGATGGGATGGGATGTATGGAGATGCGATGGGATGTACGGGGACGGGGATGGAAGTAGAGCATACGGAGGGACTGAGAAGGAGGTGAAAGATGGTTCAGGCGGGTGATTCAGGCGGGTGATTTGAATCAGGCGGGTGATTCAGGCGGGTGATTTGAAAGATGGTCAGAGTGATCTGAATCTTGAAGCATGTGGCAGCCCTGACTGACAGCATCGAAAGCACGTAGCTCACCTGCACTCGTGTCTCTGGCGCGTTCCTGAGCAGCCATGACTCATTGCCCGACGCCAGGCCTGCATAGGCGAACGGCACCACGGTGTGGCCGTGCATGGCCAGCAGCCACCGAATGGGACGGCTGAACGCCACCTGTGTGGAAGGGTGAGGGATGGGGGTAGGGACGGGGAGGGATACGGTGAACAAGCGAAGGCTGGGGTTGGGTGAAAGGGCACCACAGTGTGGCCGTTGCATGGCCAGCAGCCACCGCATGGGGCGGGTGAACGCCACCTGTGGTGCGGAGTGGTGAGGGGCAGGGGTGCGGTGAAGGAAGGAAGGTTGGGGTTGCGTGAAGGAAGGAAGGGCACCATCGTGCCGCCGAGCAGCCACCTGTGGGGTGTGATGACGGAGGTGGGGTAGGGTGGGACGAGGTGGGGTAGGGTGGGACGAGGCCACTGATCGAACCTTGGGTTGGGCGTGCACGGGCAGAGGGGTGATGGCTGGCTCCAGCAATCATTACAGACGGGCTGTCAAAGCCTTCTCAACTCGAAGCACAAATGAGAGGTCACCGTACTGGTTTGGAAAAGGTGAGCCCAGCAATCAACGAATCACTCGTGCTCTGCTACCCTCTCATCACTGTCATAACCACCGCGTGCACACCCACCCACCTGGGAGTTCCGCCGCGTGGTTTTAGGAAACGCAATCCTTGCCATGACCCCAGGCAGCTGCTCCCCCAGCACCGCCTATGCAGGTCTGCCCTCCTCGCTCACACTCCTACTCTGTTACCCAATTGCTTATGTCGTCTCCGCATGCCCACCTGCCAGCTGCACCCACCTGGGAGTCCCACCGCATGGTCTTGGGAAACGCAATCCCTGCAATCACGGCCGGCAGCTGCTCCCCCAGCACGGCCCACGCGGGTCGGCTCTCCTCGCTCACGCTCGCCCACACATACTCCACGCCCTTGTCGTCCGCCCGCGTGGTTACCGCCTCTGCGGTTACCGCGTTACGCTTGCAGAAGCCCTCTAGCGCCTGGAGAAGGGGGAAGACGAGGGAAAGGCGCAACTATGATTCGACACTACAGGCGCTATTGCAAATGACTGCTGAAACAGGTAGCCACATCACACAGGCATTGTGGGTATTCTGAACTTGGACTTAGCACAATGTAGACTTGTACTTTATCACTGCATAATACATAGCAACAATTGTTCAGGTTTCAAGTTCAGGATTTAGCGGTACCTTAGTAGGTTTCCCATCCTTGTCAAATGCCTTGTTAGCCGGCGGCCCCCGCACCTCCCGCTGCTCGCGCTGCTGCCACGCTGCCAGCCCCGCCACCTGCACCGCCACCCTCCTGGGCGTGCCCTCCACTCGCACTGAGCTGTACGGCAGGCGCAGGCGAGTGAGAAGAGGCGGGATGGCTGCTTGCAACTGGCAACAGGGGGTTGGGGGAATGGGGAAAGGACACGGTAGGGATGAGAATGGGCACACCTGCACAGCGACCCTCCTGAGTGTGCCCTCCGCTTGCACTGAGTCGTATGGCAGCCACAGGCGCGTTAGTAGCGGTGGGATGGCTGCTAGCAGCTGGCAGAGAGGGAAACGAGAATGGCAGGTGGGACTGACAGGTGGGACTGATAGGTGGGACTGATAGGTGGGACTGATAGGTGGGACTGATAGGTGGGTGGGACTGATAGGTGGGACTGATAGGTGGGACTGATAGGTGGGTGGGACTGATAGGTGGTTGGAACTGATAGGTGGGACTGATAGGTGGGACTGATAGGTGGGACTGATAGGTGGGACTGATAGGTGGGTGGGACTGATAGGTGGGACTGATAGGTGGGTGGGTGGGACTGATAGGTGGGACTGACAGGTGGGACTGATAGGTGGGACTGATAGGTGGGACTGATAGGTGGGACTGATAGGTGGCAACCAGCACCCCAGTGTGCACCCAGTGCACCCACCTGGGCAACAGCGCTGCTGACATCATCAGGCGGCAACTCCTCTGTACCGATCTCCACCACTAGCATCCGCCCCTCGCCCTCCCGTGCCTCCACGCCGCCCGCACTCGCCGCCCCGTCCTGCGCCGCCACGTCAGCGGACGGCCATGTGTCGCCTGTTGGCTGCGCCACGTCAGCATCCGCCCGGCCCAATGGAAAGCCGAGCTTCTCCCGCGTGTCGACCCACAATTGGGCGCACTGACGCGCCAGGCTGGCTTGGGGGGTGAGGGTGACGGGACAAGAAGGAGGACACAGGGGGAGAAAAAACGGGAAAGGAGAAAGGGGTGGGGTGGGGAGGAATGATGGGAGAGTTTTTAAGCAAGTGGGTCATTCTATAATCTGTAATCCTTTTTCATTGGTTTCCACAAGTCATGTCAACACGGATGGCTTGATCGTAGGACTGTCATGTCATGCACCCATACATACTGTGCTGCTCTTATGCACACCGCACTGCACCCATCCACACTGGACTGCATTCACCTCTTCATGAGGCCGAAAAAACAGGCTCTCTCAGTGACGTCCACGGCGCCCCTGGAATCCAGAATGCAACCATACATCCCCCATACTGCACCCATGCTCACCGTACTGCACCGCACTGCACACACCTCCTCATACGGCCGAAGAAGCGAGCTCTCTCAGTGACCCCAACAGCACCCCTTGCATCCAGAATGTTGAACGCGTGGGACGTCTTGAGGACGTGGTCAAATCTGCGGAGGCATGGGAATGGTGTGAATGAGTGGAGGGGGTGGATGGGAAGGGGTGTTGCACAGTGGAGTGAATATGGTGATAGACAGGCAGGGGGATGGCATCGCGATAACCAACAGGATGTTGAGCGCGTGTGACGTGTTGAGCACATGGTCGAACCAGCGGGGGGGGATGGGTGTGCATGGGAAGGCAGGGTGCAGCATTAAGGGATATCTCTCTCGGTGACCCCCACAGCGGCGCCCCTGGCGACCAGAATGTTAAACGCATTTGAGGTGCAGGTTTGAGGTGCAGGTTTGAGGTGCAGGTTTGAGGTGCAGGTTTGAGGTGCAGGTTTGACGTGCAGGTTTGAGGTGCAGGTTTGAGGTGCAGGTTTGAGGTGCAGGTTTGACGTGCAGGTTTGAGGTGCAGGTTAGGTGCAACCGAAACCCACCCAGCCCAGCCTCCCTCCAGCTCTTCCATACTCACGCGGGAATGGCCAGCTGCTTGTCAATCAAAGCCTGTGCCTCGGCGTCGTAGAGATCAAAGCGCTGCCTGACCCTCTCCGTGTCCGCCTCTTCCATGTTGAACCAGCTCATCTCCCTCTCGTTCTCCAAGAACAGCTCCCCGTAGGTGACACCAGGGGCATAGGCGATGCGCTTGAAATGATCCACGCCCTGTCAGGAAGAGAATGAATGACATGGACGTATGACTGGCAGTGCATGTTGGTTGAAGCAGCTCATCTCCCTCTCGTTCTCCAGAAACAGCTCCCCGTAGGTCACTCCAGAGGCGTACGCGATGCGCTTGAAATGGTCCACGCCCTGTCAAAGGGAAGAGAGAATGACAGAGGGGAGTGACGGACGGGAGGCGTGTGACTGGCAGGCAGTGCATGTTGGTTGAGGTGAGGCGCATAGGCGATGTGCTTCAAGTGGTCCACATCCTGGCAAGTGGAGAGGAGTGACTCGGGGGGGTGAAAGAAAAGGAGGAGTGGCAAGGCAAGCAAGTCAAGGGAGCTCATCTCCCTCTCGTCTCGTTCTCAAACAACAGCCCCCCATACGTCACTCATGTGCATAGGCGACGAGCTCATCTGCAGGCTCATGATGACGCTCAAGGCCGTACGTGAAGGCTGCTTGCACAGAAGCATAGACGACTGCATAGGGGATCGTACCTGTAGGCTCATGATGATGCGCTCAAGGCCGTATGTGATCTCCACTGGCACTGGCAATGGGACTCATGATGATGCGCTCAAGGCCGTATGTGATCTCCACTGGCACTGGCAATGGGACTCACGATGATGCACATACCTGCAGACAGGGTACATGCCACCACACTCGTACCTGCAAACTCATGATGATGCGCGCAAGGCCGTGTGTGATCTCCACTCACAAAGGTCTTGTTATGATGCGCCAGTACCGTACCACCAGCATGCCACAAAGCATGTACCTGCAGGCTCATGATGATGCGCTCCAGGCCGTACGTGATCTCCACTGACACTGGTGATAGCGGCATGCCCCCTGCCTGCATGCATGCATGGACGTAACGGTATGCACATATCATGCATGTACACATGATGCATACGAACGTATGCATATGAACATACACACACATGCATACATGTACATGCACACACGCAGCAACCGGAGAAGAGATAGCAGATTCTTTAGGTAACAGGGGAAGTTACAGCAGAAAAGAGCAAGCTCAGCTGCTGTGATTCGTTAGGTGCACCGGTAATCCTTACAGCACAGACAGCCAAGCAGGCAGGTAATCCTTACAGCACAGCCAAGCAGGCTGTGTGCTGTGCTTGGTGGACAATGCTTTTGAATCTACTCAAAAACCTATGTGCAGCGGAGCCAGCTCGTTGAAAACATCAAGAACAACCACCCCGCACCCATCACAACCGCACTACACCTGCTGGAAGTAGGTGAACTGCGTGATCTCCATGCCATCCAGCCACACCTCTCAGCCCAGCCCCCAGGCGCCGAGCACAGGCGACTCCCTCCACACCCATCCCAACCACTCTCTCCCCGCACCCACCCACCTGAACCGCACTGCACCACACTGCACCTGCTGGAAGTAGGTGAACTGGGTGATCTCCATGCCATCCAGCCACACCTCCCAGCCCAGTCCCCAGGCGCCGAGCACGGGCGACTCCCAGTTGTCCTCCACACCCATTCCAACCGCTCTCTCTCTCCACACCCACCCACCCCAACCGCACTGCACCGCACTGCACCTGCTGGAAGTAGGTGAACTGCGTGATCTCCATGCCATCGAGCCACACCTCCCAGCCCAGCCCCCACGCCCCGAGCACGGGCGACTCCCAGTTGTCCTCCACAAACCGCACGTCGTGCTGCTTGCTGTCGATGCCCAGCGCTGCCAGGCTGCCTAAGTAGAGCTCCTGCGCATTCCCAGGGTCTGGCTTGAGAATAACCTGATGGTAGTGGGGAGAGGGCAGGGGAGGCCGTGGGGAAGGGAAGGGGAGCTCAGAGCCGAGCCCCCTCTATGCACTGAGCCGAGCCCCCTCTATGCACTGAGCCGAGCCCCCTCTATGCACTGAGCCGAGCCCCCTCTATGCACTGAGCCGAGCCCCCTCTATGCACTGAGCCGAGCCCCCTCTATGCACTGAGCCGAGCCCCCTCTATGCACTGAGCCGAGCCCCCTCTATGCACTGAGCCGAGCCCCCTCTATGCACTGAGCCGAGCCCCCTCTATGCACTGAGCCGAGCCCCCTCTATGCACTGAGCCGAGCCCCCTCTATGCACTGAGCCGAGCCCCCTCTATGCACTGAGCCGAGCCCCCTCTATGCACTGAGCCGAGCCCCCTCTATGCACTGAGCCGAGCACGGGCGACTCCCAGTTGTCCTCCACAACCCGCACGTCGTGCTGCTTGCTGCCTATTCTCAGCGCTGCCAGGCTGCCTAAATACAGCTCCTGCGCGTTGCCTGGGTCTGGCTTCAGGATGACCATGACCTGCGGGATGATAAGGTGGGAGGAGAGGAGGGGGGTGTGACGACAATGCCGGCCGGCTGTGGATGCCCAGCGGCGCCAGGCGTACGAGGTACAGCTGCCGCGCGTTGCCAGGATCGGGCTTCAGGTTCAGGATGACTTGAGGGGAGAGGGGAGAAGGCACGGGAAGGCACAGGGTGGGTGGGGTTGTCCCCGAAGCGGCTTTCGTCGGGGCAATGCAGTGGGGGATGTGCTGAGGGCAGCTGAGAGCAGCAGGGAGCACCTGAGCGCCCCCAACCCACATTTAACTGCGTGTGGCGCTGCACGCGGTTGGGGTTGTCTCTGAAGCGGCTGTCGTCGGAGCGCATGGATGGCTGGGCTGGGAATGCCCTGGGAGGCTATGCACCTGACAGAAATGCCACCGCAGAGCACCTGAGAGAGCCCTCACCTGGAACTGCGTGTGGCGCTGCACGCGGTTCGGGTTATCTCCGAAGCGGCTATCGTCGGGGCGCATGGAGGGCTCCACGTAGGCCACGCGCCACGCCTCGGGGCCCAGCACGCGCAGGAAGGTGGCGGGATTCATGGTGCCCGCTCCCACCTCCGTGCTGCTCGGCTGTAGCACCGCGCACCCCACGCCCGCCCAGTATTCCTGCCGTGCGATGGGTTGGAGGAGGGGGGGGAGAGCGCATGGGGGAATGAGGCCGTTGGGACTTGAGTCGGGTGCAGCACGGAGCAGAATTCCCCTGAAACACGGATTCTTTTCACGCGTGGTAACCCGTCACGTCAAAACGCCACTAAACTGTGATCAGACGTCGCGGCATTGAGTGAAACGGCGGTATCGCGCTCAATGCACACTCGACGCGGGCTACTCGTAACACTATGCGGCACCCCATTGGTAACCCGGTTACACCTGGAGTCGCTGAATTGCGTCCTGAAACGTAAGCGTTCCGGCTTTAGGAGTCTTCCCGCTCTCCCCAGCCCCGCTGCTCCGCAGCTGTTCCGCTTCCGCGCTGGTCCCATCCGCAGATACCCCCGCTGGCGCAGCTTCCGCCGATACAGATGTTGCAGAGAGCTCCGCGCGCGAAGAAAGATAATGCGCGAGACGGGAAGAGCTTCCGCGCGCGTAGCTCGGCGGAAGCGTGAGCGGGCGGCCGCGGAGGGCGCTCGGGGGGAGCGCACGAAGGGAGCGGCGGAGGAAGCGCGGCGCTAACGGCTGGAGCGTTGGCGCGGCTAGTGACATTCGGGAGAGAATTCTCGACGCCATGTCGTCTACCTAGCGTCGATAACCCAGCCCTGCTAGCTCGCGAACCGCGTGATACCTAGAAGACACTACTCTGCAGCAGGGCTCGCGGGGGAACTGGCGTGTTCACCAAAACCCTAGCTGAGCAAGAATTCTGAGGGTGCGTAAGATCCGCTACAATATGATTTGGCTGCAAATTTGTCGCCCTTTTGGTAGACAATATTTTTCTCCAAAGTAGACCGAATGGTCGAATGGTAAACCGACCACCATCCAGCCACATTTTCAAGGTGTTGCAATCTGACAGATTTGGTGGCCGATTTACAGGCCGGTTTGCAAAAGTGTCAGATTTGCAGGTCGCACAGTTGGCCGGATTGTGCGACGGAGTCGCATGTATTGTTAGTCTTGTTCAACGGCGCTGAAAGTGCCGTACGCGTCGTCCTTGTGACACGTTGAGTCGCTTGGGTATGTTGGCCAAGTCGCATAGGTACTGTAGCGCTGACGAGTCGTCAAAGTGGTCGACTCTCGATTCGTTTGCACGTCGGAAAGTTGTCAAATGCTAAACCGGCCATCAAATCGGCCATCAATTTTTTATCAGGTGGCCGGATTGTGCGAAGTTAACGAAATACCCTGCGAATGTCGTGAATGTGTAACCTTCGCTAGATCCGGCCGGCCGGATTTTTCCGACAACGGATCTGACGCACCTTGTGGGTGCTTGGGTTAATCTCTATTGGGTTGCTGCGTTTTTAGCGATAAACAATGTGATACCAGTTATTCTTCAGTGTTACGGGTGCAATGAATCGAAGTAGCGAGAATTGCACTAGGGTGTCAAAACGAGTACAAAGATGTGAGCGAAGGCATGAGCGAACATTTATACGCAAACATGCAAACGGTAACGCGGTGCGTGCGAGCTAGCTAGTGCTACGCTGGCAGCGAAGCTCGGGCTAGTCCCGAAGCGTAGGCCGACACGGCCGGGCCAGCAGTGCGAGGTTTGGCAAAACAGTGCGCGCGAAGTTGGCGAAGTCCCGTTAGCAGTAACGGGCGAACAACGGCTGTTGCTATACGCGATGTAGTCGGGCTCCGTAAGGAATGCCGAAAAATTCCTTACAATACCACCCCCCCCCAAGAAGCCCCCTTCCGCTACGCGAGTGCGTGTATATCGCGGAATCCCCAGCTCCTCAGGTACACTTGCAGAGCAGGGTGGTTTTCAATGTTGGCCAGGGGCACCCAGCTATCTTCAGTTGGCGTGCGGTCCTTCCAGCGAATGAGGAATTCAATCCTCCTGATTCCCGTGGGGTGGCGAATCCGATGGCTCAGGATTTTTTCTGGCTCGATGATCGGCTCCGATGTAGGGCGAGTCATGGAATGCGGGCGGTGACGAGGCAGTTGGCTAGTGGTTGGGATGTATGGGCGAAGTAGGCTGACGTGGAACGATAGGCTGATGTACCAGTCGGTCGGTAAGAGTAGGTGCGCGGTTACTGGCGTGATCATGTGGCTGATTTGGAATGGGCCACAGTAGCGCGGTCGAAGTTTTGGTACGTCGGGCAGTCGCAGATTTTGCGTGTCGAGCAGTACGTAATCCCCTGACTGGTATGTGACTGGGCGGCGGTGGCGGTCAGCGTTGCGCTTAGCGATGACGTTTGTTTTTTTAATTGCTTCTGCGGCTCTGGTGCGGGCAGCTTACAGAATTTCGGCGAATTGCTGTGCACGTGGTGTTGGGTTGTCCGGACTCGGCGTCATGGGCACTGTAGGGTTTTGCCCGTAGTTCAAGTAGAAGGGGGACTGCTGCGTCGTCGCTGACGTGGCGTTGTTGTACGCGAACTCGATCAGCGGCAGCTGCTACTCCCAAGTCTTGGGGTCGTTGCACGTGGCACGAATCAACTACTCCATCGTCTGATTCGTCCGCTCCGTTTGACCGTCGGTCTCGGGGTGGTACGACGAACTGAACTGTAGCCTGGTCCCGAACTGCTCCCAGAGGTTCTTCCAGAAGTTGCTGGTGAACTTCGTGTCCCTGTCGCTGATAATCGCTGCTGGTATCCCGTGCAGGCGAACAACGGCTGCGATGAACAAGCGAGCGGTCTCCTCAGCTGAGATCGACTTTTTGCATGCAGCGAAGTGTGCCATCTTCGTCAACTTGTCAACGACGACCATCACTTCGTCGTTACCCCTAGGGTTCGAAGGTAACCCTGTGATGAAGTCCATGGTAACCTGCTACCAGGCGCGCTCGGGCGGTGGTATCGGCTGCAATTGACCCGCCTTCCGCTTCCCCGAGCTCTTCATCACCTGACACGTGGGACACGAGCCCACGTGCTGCTGCACGTCGGTCAACAGCTCAGGCCAGTAGTAATACCGCTGCAGTTGCTGTCGCGTTTTTTCTACCCCAAAATGTCATGAGGTAATTCCGTCGTGTGCCTCCTGCAGTAGCAGCTCCCTCAATCGTGAGTACGCGGGTATCCAGATGTGGTTGGTGCCTGTTTTTACGTAATAAACTCCTTTAGCTTATGCCAGTTGCGGTGAATTTCCGGTCGTGAAGAATGGGTCGGTGCAGTATCCGTGGGTGAATATGCTTGTTAAAAGCGGGTTGGTTTGGGCGAGTAGGACGGCATGGAGTTGGGCGGTAGGGCGGGTGAGTGCGTCGGCGATGTTGGATGCGCCTTTCTTGTACATAACCGTGTAGTGGAAGTTGGACTCGAGGTAGTCCAACCAGCGAATCTGTCGCGGGTTGAGATTTGGTTGGGCGCGTAGGTACTGTAGTGATCAGTGGTCTGTCCATACTGTCACGTCGGCGCCAGTCAGGTAACACCGCCAAACCTTGAACGCGTGCACGAACGCCAACATTTCGCGGTCGTGTATCGGGTAGTTACGTTCGGGCGGTTGCAACTTGCGGGACTCGTACGCGATTGGCTGGAGGCCGTTCCCGAAATCCTGCAACAGTACTGCTCCCACAGCGATGTCACTTGCGTCAGTGACGAGCTCGAACGGACGGTGTGGATCTGCGATGTGAAGCTGTCAGACTTATATGATCTAGCCTGTGTAGGCTGTAGCGGGTTAGATACTAAGGGGTACATAATTCTAGGGTTTCACATTTGTATCACACTCATTCCTTAGTCAATCATTCCTCGTGATTCTCACATGGTATAGAGCAGGTTCCCTAGTGGGAACGTTTCCTAGGGCCCACCACTGAAAATCGTTTTTTTTTTCCTGCCCAGAGCGCGCTTTGCTCGTGCCCGAGTCGCGTCGCGTGTGCCTACCCTCCCGTCACGTCCCCTGCCCTTAGCGGCCCGTCGCACCCTCTTATGGCCCCTCGCGGCCCCTCCCGCGGCCCTTCGCGGCTTCCTCGCGGCCCCTCCGCCGCCCTTCGCGGCCCCTCTCACGGCCCTTCGCGGCCCCTTGCGGCCCCTCGCGGCCCCTTCGCGGCCCCTCGCGGCCCCTTCACGGCCTCGTCGCCGCCCTTCGCGGCCCCTGCACGGCCCCTTCTCGGCCTCGTCACCGCCCTTCACGGCCCCTTCTCAGCCCCGTCGCCGCCCTTCGCGGCCCCTCACAGCCCCTTCTCGGCCCCGTCGCCGCCCTTCGCGGCCCCCTTCACGGCCCTTCGTGGCCCCTTCGCCGCCCTTAGCGGCCCCTTCTCGGCTCCTCCGCGGCCCCTGCTCGGCTCCTTCACGGCCCTGCCGCCCCGCCGCCGTCGCCCTAGCAGCAGCAGCCGCAGCGCCGTCACAGCCGCCGCCGCCACTACCGGGGCCGCCGCCGCTGCCGACAGCAGGAGCCGCCGCCGCCAGTGCAGTGACAGCAGCAGCCGCCGCCGCCGCTGACAGCAGCAGCCGCCGCCGCCGGTGCAGTGACAGCCGTCGCCGCCGCTACCGGAGCCACGGCCGCCGCCACCACCGCCCGGAGCAGCCGCCGCCGCCGCTGCCGTGACAGCCGCCCCCCGCCGCTACTGAGGCCGCAGCAGCCGCCGCCGCCAACAGCTGAAGCAGCTGCAGCTGTCGCGGCCCTGTCCCTGCCGGCGCGCCTCGGCCCTGCCCCGCCACTTGCGGCACTCTACCCACCCGCCCTGGTAAGAGCACCACCGAGCCGCGCCTTTGCGACAGCGCTGCTCCTAGCCTGCTGCTACTGCCCCTAGCCTGCTGCTACTGCTGCCATGGCTACCCCTAGCGTTCTCGTCTTTGATGCTGAGGGTCGGGCTGTCGACTTTGAGGTCTGGGTCGATGATCTGCAGTTTTTCCTACATTGCAATAGGAAAAACGGTCTCTCGCTGTTTGATCTTACGTGTGGCGCCTCTACTGCCCCTGCTGCCGATGCTGACAGCACTGTTCGCTCACACTGGGCCACACGCGATGCTGCTGCCCGTCTTGCTGTGCGTAGTCACTTGCCGTCCTCTGAGCGTGCACACTAAGTCAGTACATGAGTGCTAAGACCTTGTACGACGCTGTAGTTGCACGCTACTCTTCCCCTGCCACTGCGGCCCTTAGCCGCCTCATGCTGCCGTACCTGTTCCTTGACCTCGCTGCCTTTCCCACAGTCGCTGACCTCATTACGCACCTTCGGACTAGTGACGCCCGCTACCGCGCTGCGCTTCCTGCTGAGTTCTGCGCCAAGAACCCCCCCCCCCATGTACATCACCCTCTACTACATAGTCACCCGGCTCCCTGACTCCCTTCGCTCGGTCAGGGACCACTTCCTCTCTGTTTGCCCCACCACACTCGGGGTGCTCCCCCTCCCCCCTTTTGCCCTCTGTTGCCTCTGCTGCTGCGGCCGACCTCGTTGGCCTCGAGTCGGTCGGAGCTGCGTCTGCCCCTAGCGGGAGACGCCGCACCGGCAATGTCAACAAATATAGTGGCAAAGAACAATATATTCTGTTGCTTGCTAGAATGGGTGTAGAAGGGTGTAGGGTGGGGTTATGCCATTCGGGTGTAGGGGATTCCTTGGGCCAGGGAAATGACGCGAAGTTGATGGCATGGGGAATTGGGGACATTGGGAAAAGTGACAAGGCGCCTCGAGGGACA